AAATCTTAAGGAAGCTTTAAACTATCAGGCAGAGTATGGAGGTAAAATACATAAATTAACACATTTCACGACAGAACAAATTACAGTAGATGAAGAACAATATACAGCAGAAGAAGAACAGGCGTCATATTATATACTTAATTTAAAGGACACATCACGCTTAAGGAATGGTTTTAGGTATGTAAAAGAGCTACTGCTTCAATACCATAATTTTAGAATGTATCAAGATTATTCTAAGTTATATCAAAATGGTATTAATGTGTTCAGTGTCAAAACAGATGTGTTTACAATAGCGCGATCGGATATAACAAAAGCAAGAGAGCTTTTAATCTTTAATAATGAAATAGGAGGATGGAGAATTTCAAACGACGAATATATTAAATTTCCTACTGTAGATTATGAAATTACACAAAACGAATTAATACAAATACCAATTTATGAAAGTAAAACTATTGATATAGTAGATGAATATGACACAGATAATATTATAGAAATTATTGAACAAAATAATCCTATTATGATTCGTGGAGCACTACCGGGCACAGGAAAATCATATATATGTCAAAAAATGGTTGATAAAAATTATAATGTAATTTTTATTTGTCCTACTAATAAACTATTACAGGCATTCGAAGGCGAAGCAATGACAATAAATAAATTTTTCGGTATTAATTATGGAGATGCTAAATTAGAACCATTTGATTTTACAGATTTTGATGTTATAGTATTTGACGAAGTTTATTTTAGTAATTTAAATATATATTGGAGAATAAAGCAATTTGTAGAACAGAATAAGCACAACAAAATTATAATAGCAACAGGAGACACTAAGCAATTAAAACCAGTTCAAGAGATAACAAATACTCGAGACTATGAAGTATATACTGATAACATTATAGATAACATTTTTGAATATAATATTTTGTTAAAAGAATGTAAGCGACTTAACACACAGGAAGATAAAGATAAACTAAGAAATATTAAAATTGATATTGTTGAAAATAAATTACCTATTATGAAAGTTATTGAAAAATACTTTGAATATACAACTGACATAAGCAAATCAAAAAATAATATAGCATTTTTAAATACAACTTGTAAAAATGTATCAAACGAAATTAGAAAATTAGAAAATAGAAAAGATGAATATGAAGTAGGAGAATTTTTAATTTGTAGAGAATATACAACAACTAAAACATCAGTTTTTAATGTAAATTTCAAATATAAAATTGTTCATATTGGAAGCGATGGAATATTTACGTTGAAAAATGTTAAAACTGAAATTCTACAGTCTTTGTCAGTTGATAAAATAAGAAGTAATTTTATATTTGCATATTGTTCGACTTGTCATTCTGCCCAAGGCAGTAGCATTGATGATACCATAACAATTTTTGATTATAACCATTTTTTGGTAAAGAATTATCCAGAATGGATATGGACTGCAATTACAAGGTGTAGAGATTTAAACAAAGTCAAATTTTATAAATATACGAAAGATATTGATGATGTATTTAATCAAAAATGTATTATGAGTTATTTTGAAAGGAAAATATTAAACTACAAAGAACAAGACAGGAAAGCCAAAAGAACAATACCTAAAGAAGGTTATGTAAATGCGCAATGGTTTTTAAATAATATCACTAATCAATGTAATTACTGCGGATGCGGTTTTTCTATGGATATTAAAAACGGTAATATAATGACAAATCTGACAGCGCAACGTAAATCAAACGAGTTGTCGCACGAACTGAATAATATTATTCCTTACTGTGTTAGATGCAATTGTAGTTGTACATGATAATAATTTAAATAATATTTTAATATTTCTTGTAAAAAAAGTATTTAAAGAAATAAAAACTATATATATTATAATAGAAATGGAACTTAACAATTTACCATTAGAAATTAGATTGAATATTATGTCATATAACTGTTATGATATATGTCCTTACAGGTATAACGATATCATTAAACACCCTTTTCCAACTTGGGAAAAGGTAAAAAGAAATCCATTCTGGATAATGTCTTTGACTGAATATTTAGATGGTAAAAAATCTGAATATGAAATATACTTAGAATTAAAAACATTTTACGATTATTCTTACATATTTAATATTGAATATAAGTTTAAGCATCTATGGTTTATTAATAATATTGATGATATGAACATTAATGGTAGAAAAATACTGACAAGTCAATATTATGACGCTATGAGAGCACTTTTATCAATGATGCCATTTAGAACAGAAGCAGAATGGCATATCCGGTTTTATCATATATTAGGCACTGAAGACTTCTACAAAAGCGAAGAAGAAGTTAGCGATAATGAAAGTGTTGGTAGCTATTATTAATTTCATAACCATACTATGATTATAACATTTATACCCTTATATGTTATAATTATATTTCAATATTTAATTTTATTTCTTGTAAAAAATATTTAAAGAAATAAACACTATATATATTATAATAGAAATGGTTGAATTTACAGAGAAAGAGCAAGAAGAAATTATTAATAAATTCTTAGATATTGTTTTAGTAAATGACACTAAACAAGAACTCAAAAATAAATGTGATGCGTGTAAATGTAAAAACTACTTAAATCATAACAGATATAGAGACATTGGACACATAAATTTACCAAATAATATGTTAAATCATATTTACAAATTTACTTATAAATGTATTTTCTGTCAAAGAAGAGAGGAACCAATCCGTGAGATTGAATATGTACAAAATCATAATGTCGAATTCTTGAACAATGCAAATATAAAAAACTGGTTGTTTGTTATACAATGTAAATTTCCAGATAAAAGTAGTTTTCCTAAAATGTCTAAACAAAGATATAATTTAATGAAACGTATTTATGTTTTTCATTTACAGTATTATAATGGACAATCAACAACAGAGTTAAACATCAAAGAATTACTTAGAAAGGCTGGCTTCAGTCCAGTCAAAAATTATCAAGAACTATATGCCATTACAATAAAAATTAAACACGAATGCAAAATAAAATACAGCCCCGATTTTTAAATGTTTATAATCATACTATAATAATAACATTTATACCCTTATATGTTATAATTATAATGTAAGTATAGCGTTTTATATATTGAAGATAAAATCCTACAAGGTGGGCCATGCGCAACTCCGGAATATCCAAATGTTGAAAAATGATTAATTATTTGTTGTAAAATGTATTTAAAGAAATAAGAGCATAATACAGTATGGAGGAAATTGTATTCAAACATTGTTCAAGATGTAATAAATCAAAAGCTGTTGAAGAATTCACTGAACCAAATAAATTGTGTAATCTATGTATTGAAGACAATAGGGAATATCGTAGATGTAAAAAGGAAGGGGTTGAGAGAGCGAAGGAAGTAAAAGAACCGACCATAACATATAAATTAAGAAATTTTTACTGCGAAGTCTGTAAATATGAATTGAGATTGTGTAAGAAAAGCCAACACGAACAAACATTATATCATCAAGACAGATTAAGAAGAAAGGAACATCCAGAAGAATTTGAAAATGAAGAAAAACCAGACAGAATACGTTTTCAAGATGGTAAGGAGTATTTTAAATGCAATAAGTGTAAAAGCGGGGTTATGTCTTCTCTATGGGGTAGGCATTGTGCAACTCTAGAACATCAGAAGAAAAAAATGAATAACTCAACTGAAATTTTACGATAAATATGCTCAAACATATTTATCATAAGATTTGATGCAGGTAGGATTTCCAAGGGGCGCCTTACCTTCGCGAGATTTTTGGGTAGAATATTTTCGGACTTCAGATTTCGCGCTTTTTATCTAACTGCGCCTGGCCTATTCTAACTCCTGCTGGGAGCCGATTTGACCAATCGGCTCCCACAAAACCCCATTTTTTTTGGCCACCTGCTGGGAGCCGATTTGACCAATCGGCTCCCACAAAACCCCCCTTTTTTTGGCCACCTGCTGGGGGCCGATTTGACCAATCGGCTCCCACAAAACCCCCTTTTTTTTTGGCCACCTGCTGGGAGCCGATTTGACCAATCGGCTCCCACAAAACCCCTTCTTTTTTTTTTGGCCACCTGCTGGGAGCCGATTTGACCAATCGGCTCCCACAAAACCCCCTTTTTTTGGCCACCTGCTGGGAGCCGATTTGACCAATCGGCTCCCACAAAACCCCCTTTTTTTTTGGCCACCTGCTGGGAGCCGATTTGACCAATCGGCTCCCACAAAACCATAGCCTTTTGCAAATGGAGCAACGCATCATGCGTGCCATCAGGACAGCGTTTGGGCCAATCGCCCTGGACTCCCTTGCCATGCTTCAACCGCGGCCTTCTCGCGGCCCGCAGCGGCGGTTTTTACGCGAAACACGGGGCGAGAGATGCGGAGCGCGCCAAACAGCTCCGCACTTTCAGAAAACGCTTTGCTTATTGAGGCAACCCAAAATAGGCGCAACGCCTTTTAGATGTGGTGCCGGTTTTTATCTAAAAGGCAACCCATCACGTTCCCTCAGAGTCGCATGATAGCGCTGACATGTGTAGCTGCGACTGACTGATATTCGTGAAACTTTCTATGCCCACCCTCATTTCATGCGACTGGTTCGAAACAAAAGCAAAAGCATGTTTTGAGTTTACTAGTGCGACCGGTGGGAGAGCAGGGAAACGGAGCCCCAGGCTCTGGAAGAGTCCTCTTCCCCAAGCACAATGTCCAACTGCCAGCTTGGAAGAGCTTCGATGCGGCCCCCCCTTCGTGGGTCCGCAAACCCAATGGCAACAAGTGAGTCACTTGCTCAAAACCCGGTATTAAAATGGCCGTAATCCCAGAACCATGCTTCAAGAATTTGAAGCGGCCTCAGCTATTTATGGTTGGGATTGTCCCTTGCTACCCTCCTTTTACCCGCCAAAATGAAGGTCCTGGGTTGAGTTGCAAAACGAAGCCAGGTGGAACCAACTTGGAGGGGCTCCCGCATCCCCCAAGCGCACGCAAAGCGCTCGCTTCCGCTTGGCGCAGGGCCAAGCAGGTAGCCACAAGCAATGGTGACGGCTCTGGCCTTGCCGTTTTGCGTTTCCCATCCTCTCGAACATCTGTCCGTGTTCTGATCCCCCGCTAAAAGTGACTAACTTTTAGTGAGTTAAATTCGGAAATCCCCACTAAACACTAAAAGGCCAAAACGCTAAGGGACCGGATGGCTGGGAACCACCAACAGCCTGACCAAGGAACATCCTGGATAACTTGTTCCTTCGTTCAAGGCAGTGCAGGGCAAGGCAGGGCAGGGCAAGCAAGGCTGTCTCAGCCCACAGCTTGGTCATTCAACACCCCTCAACAGTCAAACGACGATCTCTGACCAGTGAAGCCATAGCGGACCGAAAACGTGGCTCTTGCCGCTGCTCCGAGTCAAGGAAACCTCCTGTTTGCTCAGTGCTTGTTGGCGCATGAGCTGCTCCCCGCTCTGCTATGTAACACTCAGCCAGGCCAATGAGTGTATTTGTCGAGTACCCTTTTTGCTTGAATTCTACGGGAAAACCAAAGGAAGGCCACCATGTCTCAGATTCCCTGCACTTGGTGGTTTGGTGAGGAGTGGTCTCCCACTTACCCTCCACAAGAACCACGGGCTAATCCAAATCCAAACCACCAATACAAATCACTGAGTACAGGGTTCCCTGATAAAAGGAAAGCCGCCATTTTCTTGCTGGTGCGATAGGCAGGGAATGAGAAATCGAATGACCAAAAAAAATGGTGGTGTCCTTTATTCGAGGACCAAAGCCTGGGTTCATTCCCAACACCCTGGGTCATTCCCTACTGAGCACCAGCAAGTCAAATTTGCACCACCCCCATAATAATGACCCCTGGGTCGTTCCCTCATTCCCTCCCGACCTATCGCGCCAGCAAGCTTTGCCCATGTTGATGCCAGTGTTCGAGGCCTCTTCACCACCGCAGCGCAGCCAGCAGAAGAGGGCGCCGCACCAATCGCGGGCCTTCGCTTTGCGTCAGCGATTGAACCACCCGGCTTCCAAGCGGAAACCCCAACAGAAAATAAGTGTTATTTATAATATGCATGTGTATGTATATGTGTATATATATAGTATTGTGTGCGCCTGTGTATATGTATATATGTATGATATGGTACTGACATATGTATATATATATATATGTTTAAATATACAGAATACATCTATACATATAACGGGTGTGTTTGAAGCAACTCTCAAGATGCACAGGTCTACGCAAAATGTGCGGTGAATTCAGCATTCTTCGAGGCATGGCTTCTTAACGAATAGGGCGCGTTCTGTCCGTCATGGTTTTCCGGGTCACGCAGGCCCATTTCTATGAAATCGCCCGATATCTGACTGTGCAGTTTGGCATTGTTGAAAACATGTGAGCCACAATAAAAACCCGGTATTAAAATGGTGAAGCCAGAACCATGTAAAGAATTAAGAAGGCGGCCGCAGCTATGTATGGCTGGGATTGGCCCTTACTAACCTTCATCTACCCGGGTTTTGATTGTGGCTCATGTGTTTTGTACCCGCCACAGGCGTACCTTCGGACTGCACCCACAACCAAGTGACCACGTGGCATGCCAAATGATAAGCACACCTTCAGACTTCATCCTCAGCCAAGTGAAGCGCCGCCTCGGCGAAACGGCGCCTGTACGCACTCGTCTATAGATATATATATATATAGATAGTATATATGTATATAGATATATACGTTCATTGGTGTTTGTAATTGTATTTGTTGTTTGATCTATTCCTGTATATATTGTTGTTGACTCATTTGCCTATCTATGTATCTATGTATGTGTTTGTTTGTTTGTTTGGTTGTTTGTCTGGTTGTTTGTTTGGCTGTGTGCCTACTTTGTTGCTCTATCTATATGTTTGCTTATCTAGTTACTTCTTTCTGTATCTGGTTGTCTATTTGTCTACTTATTTGTTGATTTGACTATCCATCTATTCGTAGCATCTATCAAGTCGTTGTGTAGCCCGTGTTTCCCTTGAAGGGGTAGAGATTTGGGGTTGCAACATCATCTTAGACAGCTGGTGACTAAGTGCCCTGCGGCGCCGCAGGCTGATGATGGTCATTGAATTACAACTTCGCTTCTAGGTCTACCAAGGTGCTCCGCCTCGCGAACCCTTCGGTCCCCCAACTCAACCACCCCCCCACCATGCTGCAAATCGGCATGCGGCAACTCGGTCACGCCGTTAAGGGGGCCTTCTCAATGGACACGAGGCAAGAGCTATTGGGCAACTCTGGCGGTGTGGAACTTGGGGCGGTTTCTCCCGCTCTGAGTCTGGGTTGGAAAAAGTCAAAAGAATCTACTCGATATAATGATTTGTCCTTGTAGAACTTGCATGTGCATCAAAACTTCTGACACGAGGGATGATCCTCGTATATTAACACCCCCGATAATGCATGTCCCCAAGTCCGACACAAGGCTTTTGGGATGGAGGAGCAAAAATCCGAACCCCCCTGCCCCGCTCAAATACAGCCCCCTTCCACTCTTGCCTGCTCGCAAGCAATGGCCCTTGCGTGCCACAGCCTTGCTTCCAGGCGCTTGCGCTTGCGCTCGAGGTAACCCTCCTTGCATCTACATGTCCCAAAAACAGTTTTGACTTGTCAGATTCTACCACAGTTTTGGAGGGTTTAATGTGGGCCTTGCTAAAATCCCTGTTACCAGGTAGAACCACCTCCACACGTCCCTTCGCCGCTGCTTGCACCTGAGGCTGCCACCAGTTGGCAGGCAGCTTTGGCCAGATTGCCTCCTGCGACCGAAGGCGGCTAGCGGCTTGGCGCGGGAGCAAAGCTGGATCCTACAACAAGCTCTTTGCTTTTTTGGAAATCCTAGGAGTTCGACTGGAGACTCCTAGGATCCTGCCTTGGGCCCGTCAAATGCTCATTTGGCTCCCAAATGCGACATCTTGCCACCTCTTCGGGTGATGTCCCACATAGATGCATCTCGCACGTACTCAACTCGCATCATGTTGGGAGGTGACGGCAACCCAGGGCCGACATCCACCATAATTATCAACATAATTCTCAACTGTGGCATAAGGAATGCCCAAGTAAAGAACCTGCATGAAGTCGCCATAGGCAGAATGATTGATACTCACCCACTGGATCTGCCAGGAGGCACCTTCAAGCAACTCTCCCGAAATCAGATTTCCCTCGAGAGGCTGCGGGGAGGCACCCACCGCTTTTGGTCGGTTACAACCCTGCAACAAGGGTGGACAGGATGGGAAGAGTATGCACAAGTGGACCAAAAGGATGCCGGGCATTGGAGCAAACCATCCATCAGATCCTGGAAGGGCAATCGTGCCATCGCAATGATGGACACCCTTCAAATCTCACATGAAATATCGAGAAGGAAAAAAAGAAGAAAACAAAAAACAAGAAAACATGCATCTGTAGGATTCAACTAACAGTAGGCAGGCCTTGCCACCCTAGTGCAGAATTGATCCCCCCCACAAGTAAACATCAAAGTGAGATCAACGACGCTCCACAGCAAGGAGATGGTTCCACAACCCCGGACTTGCTTCCCCAACAGGACATGGGAAATGTTGGTTGTGTCGTGTTCTACCCCTGAACTGTTGCGTAAAATTGGCCCGCCCCTCCCCCCCCCCACCCCCATGTCCCCCCCAAACGACTACCAGTTTTGCCCGCCGCCCACCTGTCGCCCTGTCAAAAGCTCCCTCCTCCTCGCTGCCGAAGTCCAAGGGCACCGCCTGCCGGCGGAAAATCCGTGCAAACGTCGAGCGCATCCGAATCCGACGGGATGCATCTCGTTTTCCTTAGGCCTTCTGAGTTGGGTTTGGAAGGCCATGAGAGGCACCTTCTGACTTTGGAGATTAAGGATGGCACAAGTGGGCAGCTGATAGATCTTTTTTGAGCCACGCCCATGTACGTACTGTTTCCATTGCCCCCTCTCTTCGACCAGAAGCATCGCAGCGTGTACGCCCGCAATCCGCCTTCGCGTGCGTGATCAGCAGCTGCCGCACCTTTGGACAGGGTCAAAACTGTTTTGGGATCCCATTTTGGTTGGTAGGTGGTGCATTCACCACCCATTTTAGAACCTATTTTAGTGGTTGGATTGAATCGGATGTTCATCAGGGTACGACTTGGATCCCATGGACATGTCTCAAGCTAGCGTGGCGTTCCTGTGGATTTTCCGTTGATTTCCAAGCAGACCAGGGGACAAGGGTACACTCAAACAAACACACACCCATTTGCGCCCCGGACGAAATCGATTGTTCCCAAAAAAAACACATGGGAAGATGAGGCCCCTCAAGCGGACACAAACGCCTATCATACGCTTCGTAGAAAAGACTAATTCCCTGAAGGAAACATTCTGAAATCACCCATGCGGCCACAATGCATCTTTGAAGGCACCCTCGTAAACCGGGAATCAGAACGCCGCGTCTAAATGGCCCGTAATTCAGGTCGCTGCATGTGTACTTCACCAAAACTGATATGAGAATATCAAGGCCGGATTAGTCACCGATTTCTGATCCTTGTTTTCCTTGGATTTATGCTATGATTCAACGTCGTCCCCCAGTTCGACGAGAATGGTCCATGGAGTCCACGGTCAAGGGCAACTCACATGGGGTGTCTCAAAATAGGGACCCCCCCAAACACAATTTGTTGTTGTTTCTATATATATATATATGGTTGTCCTTTAAACCAACCACAAACGGATACCCTCCGTAAAAAAAATAAGAAAAAAAGAAAAGAAAAGACAGAGCCACATGGCTTTCAAGCCTCACACACCGGGCATCCCACCAGGCTGGCGCGGGCACGGTGCTCGCTCACGAAGTGCGCCACATACACCGCCTCGGGACATCCGGCGCAACCCGTGGGCGATGGGGAACTTTCTTCAGGCATTCACATGGGGACTCATATGGCGCAAGCCCTGGTAAATGGAAACATGGACGATTTCACCTGCGGTCCATTTCCTAGTGATTTCATATGGGTGTTTCTCAAAATTAAACAGAAGAGGGGCAAACCGCAGGTCCATGTTTCCACTTACCAGGGTTCCATTTTGGTACTGGCTTTTTGAGCCACAGCCATATTATGGCCATCAAAATCCAAAGCCAAATCGTACCCCCAATGAACATCCGATTTAATCCCCAATAAAACAGGTTCTAAAATGGGTGATGAATTCACCTACCCCAAAATGGGATCCCAATGGCTTTGACCCACGGCCATTTGGGTGTTTCTCAAAGCTGGGGTCCAAATCCTCCAGGTGGTTTCCCTTTGGTTTCCTTTTGGAACCATCCGAAAAGGGGTTCCCTATTTTAAGACACACCCATGTGAGGTTGATCAACCATGGGAAAAGTTACCCATGGTCAACCCCGTGTCCACCAACCATTGTTGAGGGGGTTCCCGATTGAATCCCGCGCACCGCAGGTCTTGCACACAACTTGAGCCGCAAACCCACTGTGGCAGGCCCTGCTGCTGCAAGTGCTCACAATACCTCAGGCCGACGGACGCGAAGACTCGAAAAGTCCCGCCAAGTCGAGCCCAACACCCTCCACCCTCATAACTTGCAAAACTGAAAAAAGCCCGTTCAAAGCGGCCGCCCGGCCAAACCGGCTCCATCTCTCCCACCATCGATTGCACGGGGCTGCTTCCAAGATCCTAGCCCTCTTCCTTCCTTTGCATTTTTGTGAGGCCACATTCCACGGCTCACAGGAAAAGCCCACCTCCCCACCTCCCCACCTCCCCACCTCCCCACCTCCCCACCTCCCCTCCCCCCCGACTGGGCTCCCCGGCTGCTGCGTGAGGCGCTGAAAGGCCACGCCGGCCGGCTCGCCCGCCTCACCTGGAAGCAAAATCCGCGGCACCGGCCCACCTGGGCCTCCCCAAAAAACAACGCCGCGAAATGGACGTCGTGCATGAGTCAGCAAAACCTGAGATGAAATTGGGCGTGACTACCACCTACTAACCTTCAGCTACCCGGGTGTTGATGGCTCAAATTGCCCCGTGACATGCTTGGGAGCTCGATCCCGCCGACTTTCCCTCCCGCAGCCACATGAGGTTTTCTCCAAATTCAGGTTGAGTGAGTGGCCCCGCTTGCTGGCAACTCACAGCATCTACGCATTTGCTCACGTGGGACGCACTCAGAAGACGGGGTTGAGCCAAAACGCAAAACAGCACTACACATCGAGGATACCCATGAATCCCCCAGCAGAGTTCCTTTTGCGGAACGGTTCTACCACAACGGGAAGCCTAGGGGCCAGCTGCTGTTCACAGCAACTAGAGGGCACATGCTTGCACTTGAGGAGCGGGTGAACGAAAGCTAGCAGTTGTTGCATGAGATGGGTCGGTGACAGAGTGGATTCATAGGTAGCTTGTGTACAACGAGAGGCCCGGCAAGATTCGTAGGATGCGACACGCAAACGCACATGGTGGCGTGGCAAACCTTGAAAAAGGAAAACAACGAGAGGCGTCAGAAGCTGTCTTAAAGCACCTCTGGGTTCTGCATGCTGCGTGAGTTCGTAGCACCAAGTCCAAAACGGGCAAACCGAGACTGCTGAACACTGAGCCACTGCCTGGGGGGGGGGATGGACCAGGGAGGAATCGAGCCTGAGACCGGGGGGGGGGGAGGGGGGGGGGTCTAAATCATTGATGTTTTTCAATCTTTTCGGCTTAAATAATTGAAAAAATCAATCTTTCGGCATTTGAGCCCCTTACCTTGCTTACGCAAGGAGAAACGTCAGCTAGCTAAAGCTAGCTTTCGTGATATAGTTCACCTGTTCTGAGAGCTGACCATGTCGGAATCCTGTGCTTTTTTGGATCTCGAACCAGGCTCCCTCAAGCGCACAACGACCTTGATTGAAATTAACGCCACCAAGCTGCCCCATTGACAAGCAGAGCATTCTATGCTGGGCAAAGAGTGGCTCAAAGAACCCTCTCCCAGTGCCTTGAAGTGCCAACATCAAGACCTCAGTGTCACTGGCAAGCTGTCCACACCAAAAGGGAATCATGCTCTTTTAGGACCAAGAAACCACAAAACGGCTGCGTGTTTTTTGGAGGGCGCCAAGCTTTTTGCTTGGTTTCAATTGGACAACCCACCAGGAAAAACCATTTTGGGGAGGTTCAACCTAACAAAAGACAAACCCAAAGGGGGGCTTTTTCGGCGGCAGCTAGCTTAAGGCCCCGGCGGCAAAGTGCCAGGACAGCGAGATGTCCAGCGGATCGTTCCTCGCGGCGATCGAGCGAGTCGTGCGGCCATGGCGCGAACGTCCAGGGGCAGCGGCTGTGCTGTATCAAAAATCCGACAAACGAGAGAGAGAGAGAGAGAGAGAGAGAGAGAGAGAGGGAGAGAGGAGGGAGAGAGAGAGAGAGAGAGAGAGAGAGGGAGAGAGAGAGAGGGAGGGAGAGAGAGAGAGAGAGAGAGAGAGAGGAGAGGGAGGGAGAGAGAGAGAGAGAGAGAGAGGAGAGGGAGGGAGGGAGGGAGAGAGAGAGGAGAGAGAGAGAGAGAGGGAGGGAGGGAGGGAGAGAGAGAGAGAGGGAGGGAGGGAGGGAGGGAGAGAGAGAGAGAGAGAGAGAGCGAGAGAGAGTGAGAGATAGCGACAAAGCCAAGGACATGCAAGCACAAACGCGCACACAAAGCCAAGGACATGCCTTAGCCATCCCGAGGTATGGCTCACAAGTCTCGCATGTGTCAACATCGGCAGCCTGATGCCGATGGCAATCTGGAAATTCACTAATTCAGAGACAGCAAACAAGAGGCCCGCATGATTTAAATGGGGTCCGCACAAAGAGAATGGATTCCCTTCCAATCTCCAATCTTGCATCCGCAATACACATGCCAAGGTTGAGTTGCTATCTTATTGAGAGAGTGAGCATGTGTAACACAACAGCCATGTCCAATCACAGCAGGCACTAATTTCACGCTGAAAATATGTCAAAGAAAGGCATGTGTCTTTAACACGATCGGATCGCATGACGGACATGACAACGTTTAAAAAAAAAATGGAGAAAAAAAAGGACTGACCAGCTCTACCCATTTGGGTCTGCCTTTTGGGTAGGTGTTGAAGGGAAACCCATTTCAAGCGCAGACTGAATCTCCGAATCAACACTGCAGCCACTTCTCAAGACACTCAGAGGGCGTGAGTGGAAAAACTACCGATGCCAAAAACTAAAGCATGAGCAACGAAGAACCCACACGGATGTGTGTTTTTTGGTGGTGTTATTAAAAACCACAACAAAATGCTGGCACCCTAAAAGAAGGCACGCTCACATAATGCCAGATGCGCACTCGCTTTCGGCACCAACCTGAGCTCAGGGTGGGCTCACCCGCAGCTGGAGGCTGAGGTCGTGGCGTGTAGGTCTTGTAATCAAAGTGGACGACATCTGAGCCGTGGCAGCTCGCGGCCATCTCAATGGCAGTAAACCTGAAGTGGCACCGGGCAGGGAAAGTGCTGACGTCGCAGTGCCAGGATTTCCCATATGTGCACACAGTCTGGAACCATACAGCTACATACTGGAACTATAGTACGAATCATCTTGATCAATATTCCTGGCTCCCAGTGTTGACCATTTTCCCATTTAGCTGTTGAAACATCCGATCTTTCTAGTGGTTTCGCAACCAATGGTCATCCCATGGTCATGCCAGACCTTTTCATCAACCCATTGGCACCTGGGACTGAACTGGGCACCCGGCTGCAGGCTGCCGGGGTCATCCTTGGGCCGACGCATGGTGCCCGTCCAGAGCCCGAGGCAGTCGTCTGGCGCCCTGGTCGCCAGGACGTACGAAGGCACCTGGCGAGGTGGCCTGCTCCAAGATTCGGAATGCACCCGACGACAAACCACCTCCCAACATGTACTCCTTAAACATATGGGTATGGGTCAAAATTAAACCACCAGGAGACCGCAAGTTTTAGTCTTTGGTTCCATTTACCAGGGCTCCATTTTGGACACCTATTTTTGACCCACAGCCATATACCTTGATTGATGCAACAAACCCTTGGAGATATACCTTTGATCCAACAAACCAATCCTTTTGCGGACCTACAGCTCACGCCAACACGCAGCCCACTCTTTTCATAGGTCCAGTTGACTGAGGTTCCAGGGTTGTAGCTCTCGAAGGTTCCAATGGATTTCATCTGGGACCTGGTCTGTGTGTTTTGCCCCAAGGCCGCCACATCGAATGCTTTCTGACTATGGACGAATCGAGCCCATCCTACAAAAAGATTGAAAGCAGGGAGTAGAACACGGGCTTTCAAGAAAGCCGCCAGGATCCGAGCCCATCCTGCAAAAAGATTGAAAGCAGGGAGTAGAACACGAGCTTTCAAGAAAGCCGCCAGGATCTCAAGTCTGCGAGACAACTCAAACACGGCTTTCATCTGGCAGGCTACCACATGTTGAAAGGCCAAGTGAAGCATGTATGTATGCAGAGACAGACAGAAAAATAGAAAGACAAAGAACACACAACGGACACAGAGAAGCATGAGTGTTTCACGCGCGCAGATGTGTTCCTTGGCCATGATTGCGAACATGCTAACTGCGAGCAAAAACAACGTCATGTGAAAATCTACTAGCACTGACGCAGAAGTTTGATATGTCAGCATGAATGCATTCCAGGGCACTGGTCGTATCCTGGAGAGACTCCCTTGCCGCTTAACCTCGGGCGAGCTGCAACCAATGTCTTGAGAGACCGCTAAGGCAGGGCTCCTTTCAAAACTCAATTTGGGCGTATCTGGCTATGGTTCAAAATCCAAATCGTACCCCCAGTGAACATCCCAATCCCCGCTAAAATTGCTTCTAAAATGGGTGGTGAATTCACCTACCTCAAAATGGTACCGTTGGTTTTGACCCACAGCCATCTGTTTTTAGGGGACACGAAAAAGTTGTAATGGTCCCTTTAGTTTCCCCTTAAAACCCGGCAAAAGGGGGCCCGGCAAAAGGGGGGTCCCCCGACCCGAAAAAAGACATAGCCTCTCTCTCTCTCTACATGGAGGCTCTTACCAACGGTCATCTCACATTCTGCGTGCCAGACGAAAGGCACATGCCGAAAGGCAGCGCCCGCTCTGTGGCTGCACAAACACGAGTCTCACATCCGCCAATCAAATTGCATCTTCCACAAAGGAGTGAACATCAGGCTTTGTCACAAACACAACAAGGCCTTGAAAGCTGACTGTAGCTGAGGCCGAAACGGCATCCATGAAGGAAGCGACCACTTTGGCAAGCGCATCATCTGGCGGGTGGCTGCAGAGCAAGCGTCCAATGGGAAAGCTGAGGCGGCTAGGCTAGCCCATGATGCTCTCCATGTGGAGTGCGCGAGGGAACTCGTGGAATCTGTCGCTCCGGGTGCTTGCTGGGATTGACGTCAAGAAGATCAGCCGTTGGAGTCAACCCAGGCGCGGAATGTCCATCAAAATGTCCTTCCGAGCCCAGCCACGTTCCCAGATACGATACGGCCGACATCTGGCCCTGACCATTCACCAGCTTCCGACCCTGATTACTCCTGACCCCTGACGCATGTGGCCCTGAGCTGCAATGGTATCATGTATTCAGAGTTTTCGCCAAGCCCAAAGCGCAATCTGCAACAAGTTGCTCACTTTCCAAATAGGCGAGCGGGTTGTTGGTGTCGGAAGTGCGTGCTTTGTATCTGAGTGATTGTCAGGGGCCTCAACCACGTTCAGGCCGCTTGCTGATACACAAAGCCGCACAGAAATCTAGTTTAAAGAAATGACCCAACACCGTCACTGAAGTAGTCGAAGCAGAAATTCAATCTTGGCCCAAGGAGGAGAGCAAACTGGCCAACCTTCTCCGCTAGGCTGCGCATGACACTAAGTACTGTATGTGAAAGCCCATCAGGTCGGTGGAGCTGAACTCATCCACAAATTTGCCCTAAAAACTTGATGGGCTTTCTCAAACCTCCCATGCTTTAACCTTGTAAAGTGAAACTGGGAAGGAATTCTACCTTCCCATGCTTCTACCTTCAAAAGACTTGCTGAACTTTATCATTGGTGGTGATGATGGTGGTGGTGGTGGCTCTCTCCCGCCCCACCCCGGAGACAGGCAACTACCAGACCCCACGCCCTCCCAAACTGCCAACCTCCAGCGCTCTCCTGACTTCAAGGAGGCAGGGGGGCTATCCGGGTTTGTCTTGATGGGAACCCTTTGGTTATTGTTTGTTTTGCCCAGAAAAAGCCAAAAGGAAACCGTTTCGGTAGGAGCGGTCTTTGACTGTTACAAACAGGACATGCCTCGGTTAAAAAAAATGCCATCCTTAAGCCACCATGATCTTCCCCCATAGTGTCAGTTGAGTCGCAATCAAACTCGGCGCATGTAAGGAGTCCAACAGCAAAAAGTCAAGGATCAAACGGGCTGGGACCATCCCCCACCTTGATCTCTTTGGTCCACCATCCACCTGTCCCCCCCGTGGTCCTCCCTTTGGCCATACCAAAATACCACGCCGAACGCCGTGCGCCAGTCCAGGGCGTCCCTGACCACCTGGCCGGATGCTCCTCCCATGACCGCGGCTGACTGGCCAACCCTTGGACAACGTTCGCCGAGTGAAGGCCTTCAAAGGTTCCCTTCCCCTGGCACCTCTAAGGAGGCACCTGGAAGTTTGTAGGAAACCCACCTCAAAGGTCTTCCAACATAGCCCGCAATGTGAATAACCTGCTGGGCTCCATTTGGTTGCTAGTGGCTGTCGCAATTTTGTCTGATGTTTCTCTGTTCCCTTCCTCCCACCAACATGGCACCGGGGAGGCACAGGTAGAAGATCGTTTTTGTGTAGGAACCCCACCTGTGCCATAACTGGGAGAGAGGTCAACGACCCGCGGGCATCCGTGGCCCAAGCCGTGCCTCCAGGTCCCCGGCCAGCAACTGGTAGATGCGCCACAGCTCCGGGCTCATCAAGTCAGGCCTCGGACGAGAGACTCGCGGCGGCCGCGGCCTTCCCGCCCAGTGGGAATCGAGCAACAGAGGTGGATTTTCGGAAAGGCTTAAAGGTGTCGAAGCCTGAGGGCCAGCTCTATCAAACCCCCAAGGAAAGTGGACATTTGACATTTGACTGGGGTTTTCATGTGACATCGAGGTCTGCAAAAAAAGCCAATCTAGGTGCCTCGCCGTGTGAGGCATGGTCGAAATGAAGCAGGTTCCCCGCAAGGACGTGGCGAAATTGATTGTGTGAGGAAACTTGGTGAGTCCCCCATGTCCTTCCCAAATGGACCATAGACGGCCAGTCAGTTTTGACCAAGCCTCACGTGGACAAAAGTTTCCTGGAAGCTTAGCAAACCATGCCCTGGTCATCAGGACTCGTTTGACTTCTGGGGAGCCTACGTGTGGGCAGCTTTGAGAGCGTCCAAAGAAAGGTGCTCTCTTTCTCAGACCTTTTCTTCAAAAGGCCACAGGGGATCTTGCTGAAAGCTGGATGAGTAAACACGGCCAGCCCTACAAACCCAGCAAATGACACGAGAGCGACCCCAGGATGATCGCACAAACAGGCGTGCGCCATCGGAAGGATGGCAAGTTCACCAGTTCACCTGATCACATCATTCCGAGCTCCGAGCGGGAGCTAGAAAATGAAGATCCCCCAATGGGACGCTAAACCCAATTCGCTATTGGGGCGCTCTGAAGGAACGGTGCCACATACTGCCTCTTCAGTGGCCCAAGGCCAAAGACGGCTGCCAAGAACCAAGCAGATTGCACTGGACCATGCCCTTGTAACAGCCCACCCCGCAAGAAGTCAACCACCTGGCCGTGGTTGTCAAAACCGTTTTGGTTGATCCCATTTTGGTTGGTAGGTGAATTCACCACCCACTTTAGAACATTTTTTTAGTGGGGACTGAATCGGATGTTCACTGGGGCTACCATTTGGGCTTTTGACCCATGGCCACCTGAGTGCGGCGCGTTCTTTGGCGCTTCCAGTCTTCCACCTGCTGCCTGGCACGAGGGGAGTGAGCCATGCCGCCATGCCGCCCGCACCTCTCCTCCAGCCCGCAAGGCTTGGAAAACAAGTATTCTTTGCGTGAACACAAGCAAATGACCTTGCCCAGCCAGCTCAGCTTCGCAAAATTGGCCCAGCAACGAATCTGAAGAAACATGTGGTCTGGAGTCCGCTCAAGCAAAGTTGAAAGAGCTTGTTTTGCGTTCATCCAACATAGGCAGCGAAAATCCAAAAATAACTACTAAAGGGGCAGGATGCCTTGATTGAGCATCAACAACTAAATTGTGCCTCTTGTTGGAACTGCGTGTGGCATGGTTCCCTTCATGGAACAGTTGGCAAACAAACCCATTCCTGTTATGTAACCTTCGCAAGCCAGCGCCACTCTGCCAATCCTATTTCAAATCTGGTCGCTCCTCCTTCTACCAAAATGGCGAAAAGAAATCCATTCAAACGCCCAAGATCTTCAACATTGAAATGAAGCGACTGGAAGCGTCCAAGCCTGGTTCACACAGCTGGAATTTGGGGACGGCCAAAAGGATGTTGATCTTTTCTGGGCGATCTATGATCAAGTCTCAACACTGAGCCAGACCAATTGAGTCACAATGAAAACCCTTCTACCCAGAGAACCATGCTTCAAGAATTGAGAAGGCGGATATCCGCAGCTATTTATGGCAAGGAGATTGTCCCTAGCCTTCATCTACCCGAGTCGGTTTTGAGCACGTGGCTCACCTGTTGGTCTCGCCTCCCGGGTCCCCCGCCACCCCCGCCACACCCGCCCCAGGACTCCCGCCTCAGCCAGCGCCGCTGCTGCCCCGGCAGAAAGGTTCCCCCGCAGGCAGCCAGGATCTGGCCGATTTCAGAGGCGAGCCGAAGCGGCTGGAGCTTCGAAACGGATTTCGTGTTTGTTCCTGCTGGTTTCCCTCAAAGAAGCAGCCCTAAAACAGGCACCCTGCACCCTCAAAAAAGATGCACACCCATATGTGATGACACCAGAAGAACAGGACACCTTTTGTGTAAGACAATTTTGAGCGAGCGGCGAAGGGACAAGGTTTTTTTTTCCTCCAGCGGGGAGACTGTTGATCATTTTTCGGCAGGATGGAGCCCCAAAAGAGGACACGTCGCCTGAGTCACCTGCAGCTCATCCATCAGCATCAGCCTACTTTTGCCAGCAGCAACAAACAGCCAAACAGCCAAGCTCATGGCCGGCCTCTGGGCCCCCTCCAAATCATTTGTGCCGATGGAATTGCACGGCTCAGGCACCGTCCCCCTCCTTTATTCCTGGAGCCAACAAGGCACGCAAACCCAAACAGGCGAGCTGAGTCTGCACCAGCTGCATCAAGATGCATTTGACACAGATTGTCGCAAGCGCAAAGACGGGAAGGAGCAGTGTTGTTCGGGATAACTCGGGTTTTGCAGCAACTCATATGTATTCAACAAATTGTCGCCTGCTGGTTTAAAAAAAGGCAAGTTCAAAAAAGGGCGTTCGATGGCCATACAGTAGCAAACTGATGGACAAACCCTAGCCCCGCGCCCACAAAGACAACATGCGAATTGCTACGTTTGAAAGCGGAAAGGTTTCAATGGAAGCCATAGAGACTGACTCATTTGATCGGCCCGTCAAAAGACCATTCAGACACTCAGAGTCGGATGCGGACCAGAGGTGGAAGTGTTCAAGCACGATACAAATATCTCCAAGGGTGGGCTCGCATTCTTAGACTACATGGCATTGCGTTTTTGTTTTTTGCTTTTTTGTGTGTTGTTTCTTTCTGGCAGCGCTGTTCGACACTATGGGGAAAGCTCAAAGGCAGACGACTGGTTGGGACGGCACTTCGAGTGTCCCAGCATTCGAACGGCACTTCCCGGCAACTCCGCCCTCGCACCGTCGCCAGGCGGTCGAAGTGCGGCCCTGGCCAGAGGCCAAACCCTCAGCCAAGTGACGAGACCAAAACCCTTCCCCAAATGTTCAAACGAAACACATGCGACTTGCATGCGCGGAACCAAATCCGGTGTGCCTTCATGTGGGTGTATGTGCCCTCACCTTATGCCGGCTCACCAGCCAAAGGGAAGTCTTTACCAAGTGGTCAGCGCCCAAAACGTCTCAGAGGGGCGAGCCACCGAGCCGAGCCGAGACCCTCACCCCCCTCACCCCAAGCCGCCCCAGGGCCTTCCCCGGCGGCATTCTTCAGCTCCTTCAGCGCCGACCCCACCGAGTTGGCCGTGAGGTGGTGGAAGGCCGCCTGGCGCTCTCCGTCGCTTTGATCCGCCTGGCGTCCGTCCTTTGGATTTTGGTCACAAAAACGCCTGCCGATTTTGGTGGTTGGACCATGTTGCTGGGCTTGTCACAAAAACAGAGGAAGGAGATGGTCGGTTGAACATTTTGTGCCATCCGTTTCCCAACTGAGAACCCACCATCGCCGCAAATGCGAAGCCACGAGTGGCATGCTTGATTCAAGGGATTGAGCCGCGCGAATTTCCCTCCGCTGCAGGTGTTGAGGGAAAGTGGTGAGCTCATGACAGGGAAACCGGCCATCCCCGGAGCATCGATTTGATGTTTTGATGCGTACCGGTGCTTATCCTCAGGCTCGTTGGGAACAGGAAACCCAAAAGTACAGAGCCGCAAGGCCCCGCAAAATTTTGTCCGGAACTCCTCAAGCCCCGATCCCTGAGTCCCAAATTTGCTGCTCCTCCAAGCTCTGGGCATCAGCCCGCTCTGCAGTGACCAACCTCACGGGAGGAACGAACCGCTTGGAAAGAAGGGCCAACCCAACCCAAGGTCTCCTGATATTTGTCCTGCTGAACCGTCACCCCAGCAAAAGGAAACGAGTTCACTGATTGATGCAAAAGATGATGCTTAAAACCACAAGGAACCCGGCCAAAGACAGCAGCGGTAGTGGAATCGGAGCCTCGAAACTGTACAGCGGTGTCTGTGAACAGCAACGAGCGATATGAGGCCAAGGAGATCTCAATGGCGGCTGAAGAAGTTGACCCTTGACTCAAGCAGTTCCCTGCCGTTCCCTGCTTTCCTCGGGAAGGCTGACCAAGGCCGAGCCTTCAGGTCATCGGCACCCAAACGTGCCATCTACACGCTGCTGTCAGCCGGCAAATCATGACATCTTCGAACCAACCAAGAATCGCCTCACAAGCAAAAAGTCAAGAACCACCTCACCCCCCCCCCCCCCCGCCGCCCTTTCAAGGTCTCTCCCCCTCAAGATCCTCCGAGCCAAATCGGGTCGCGCGCTCCATCCTCCCACATAGCCAACCACATCTGGAGCTCCCCGCCCCTGCCGAAGAGGTAAACGCCTTTCCAGGAACTGCCGCACCGTGCGCCTGGCGACCGCACTTCGCTCCGAAGGGGGGGGTTCGGAGCCGTGAAAAAGCCCAGACGTGCAGCCCGGAGTTGGCCTTTGCATGCAAAAAGGCAAGCTATGCAAGACCATCCTCTTTCAGAGTATCCTTCCTTCAAGAAGTTGTGCGTATTGCTGCATCCATGGATGAGCCAAGTACCAGGAATATTCGGCCTTGCTCAGTCTTGCGAACAACCAAGAATGACGAAGGTGCTCCAGGCATACCAGCGTCCCTCGATCAAATTCGGAATACAGCTAATAGGTATCAAGGATTTCGACAGCTCTCAGCAGCACAAAACAGCTTGCTTCCTCAGTCTGTGCTGATATGCATGACTTCTCTCTTTGACCAGCAAAGAGGCAAAAGCTTGAGAGCAGGGAACAATCTTGGTGTTTCGCATGACTTGAGGGTCGTCCAGAAGTGGAAGCACTCACTTGCGACACGAGTTTTTACTCACTTGCGACTGAAACGCATTTTTTAGTCACTTGCGGCCGAAACCTGACTCACTTGCGACTATTCACTCACTTTTCAGAGCGTGCTCGCAGAGGGGCTGTCCCAAAAGGAAGGCACTGGCAGAACCGCTGTGAGTGTTCCGGACCATCCAGATATGCTACAGTTTCCATGGCCAGCAACTGCAAAGCACCTGCCAATCAAAGCCGGTGAACCTGGAAGTAGTGCCCGCATGTATGGGAAACCTCAATGTGGGCAAAAACCTTCTTTCCACCAACCTTAAGACCCGAAACGATTGGATGAGAAGGAACAAAAAAGACCTGTTGGCGTCACCTGATGGCTTCCCTTCAGCTTCTTTGGGGTCCTTCCGGGCGGACGGAGATTCCTTCCCCCGCCTATTTACGCGCGCCAGCCACCAACTCAGGCGCAGCATGGCCTGCGCGAGGCCATTCCGTCGCCAACGGACAGCTGAGTCTTGCTATCACTTTGGCATGTTGCTTTTTGACTTGAGGCACGACGAGATACCTCATCACCTCGAAAAGAAGAACGTGTTGTCGTCCCTGCCGTCGTGACTGTGGCTGTGGGTTGTGGTTGTAAGTCCGGTTTCGCTCGTGGGGCCGCCCGTGGCTCCTTCGTTGATGTCAAGCAAGGTCGACGGGCTTTTTTCAGCCAAGGAATCGCCAGACAACCAGCCCAACATGCAGTATGTGTTCTTCTGCTTTTTTCCTCTGCCGCCTTAGCTGCCTGTCCGTGGGCTTCTGCGGAACTGCTGATCAGTGTCAGCGCACAGTTGTATAACTGTGGACATATGTGTGAAGACTCCACAAAAGAGCAACCTGCAACCTTGCCAAAGCAAGGGGTTGGCCCAAAAAAAAGAAACAATCAAAGACACCAGTCGTGCTCCCTTTCCCTCAAACCATTGTCGAAGTGCATGTTTTACAATCTCTCCTTTGGGTTGTTCCTCGTGTTGTCTATGTTTCCCCTGCGTTTGTTATTGAAAATTTTGAGTGTTTGGTGTGTGTCAGCTCCACCGAGCGAAACAAAAGAAGACATTCATCAATCTCTCACCTCGTATCGTCCCGACTCTCTTCTGTAACCGTTGCATCCACACAGCGCCTTCTTGCTGAAGCCGCGTTCCACAAGCCACTATCCACTTGTTCCACTGGTCACTCCATCCCTGACAAACTCAAAAAAAGGATGAACCATTCATCTGCAGCTTGCCATCTGGTTTCCCCTGCTCAGCTTCTCCCTAGTTGGTGGTTCGGATTGGTGGTTTGGTGGTTGAGGAGGGGTTTTTTGATTTATCCTCCACAAGAACAAGGGGGTCAAACACCCAAACCAATCCAAACCGCCAACTGGGGGTTACTTGACCTGCTGTGTCGTTCTCATGGAGAAAAAAAAACGGGGTTGATCGACAAAAGCCACCAGAGAGTCTGAGTCCTATGATTAATCCCAGAAAAGTCAATGGCTGAACCCTATGAAAGGACGTGCAAATTGTGCTCCAAAGTATCCATCTGTCATTTGTGCTTGAAGTGCTTCGTTCTCGACTTTGTGCATCGTAGCGTGTACACATTGTCTGTTGTTTTGAACTGCACAAGTGGAGTGAGCATGATGTCTCAAGAGGCATGTATCATGCATAAGGCCGAATGCATGATCAGCTATTTGCCGGGAAAGAGCTGCATCAATGAAGTATCTGCCCGAGTGCCCATTTATGTGTATACGCACCTGTATAGGTGTATATATATGTATATACATATGCGTGTATGTCTGCATGTGTACATATATATATATATATATGTATACATAATAATATGCAGAGAGAGAAGGAAACAGGGAGAGAGGGAGAGAGAGAGAGAGAGAGAGACGGAGAGAGGGAGAGAGGGAGAGAGGGAGAGAGGGAGAGAGGGAGAGAGGGAGAGAGGGAGAGAGGGAGAGAGGGAGAGGGAGAGAAGAGAAGGAGAAACAGAAAGAGAATGAGAAAGAGAAGGAGCGAGAGTAAGAGCAAGAGCAAGAGAAAGAGAAACAGAAGGAGCAAAAGTAAGAGCAAGAGCAAGAGGAAGAGCAAGAGCAAGAGGAGGAGCAAGAGCAACAGGAAGAGCAAGGGAAAGAGAAAGACTTCTGAAAGGAAAGAGAAAGAAAGAGAGAGAGAGAGAGAGAGAGAGAGAAAAAATTGCACAAACGTGTGTTTCTACACAGGTTCGCCTCAAGTTGTTTGATGCACTGATGCTCCAATGCCCCTACTCGACACGAACCCGCGCCTGATGCTTACTGCCTAAGGTCAAATGGCGAAATCCATGCCGTGGCCGTCCAAGAATCAGAGTTTCGACGCGGAAAAAAGTTCCAGAGTCGGGTCAACCGCGATCAGTGGACACAACAATTGGTGTGACATAGTGCTTGAAGCGGAAGGACGCCTGCGATCAAACGATATTTCTGTGGGTAAAAACCCTGTACCCCTGGCGAACATCAAATAGGTGGCAAATGGATGCTCATCCACCCCAGAATGGAGCCATAGGTTTTGCCCCATGGCCACATGTGAATCCACATCCTCTCCATGGTCTAAGTTATCCGGTTGTCACTCGCCAATAAAAAAAAAATGGGCGCTGTTCATCGTCAGGGCCCCCATCCTGGAAGTTCCAAACGATCCTGATGTGTTCGCGGAATTTCTCGCCCATCAAGCACTTTCATCAAGCACTTGCTGAGATACGCACGGGCTGCAAAAAGGGCATTCGCCAGCTCGAACGCCTCCGCAGCAGACAAAAGAGGGAAAGGAACAACAGCAAGCGAGTGTGAGCAAGAGGAGGGGAGCGAGGAAGGGAAGGAGAAGGACGGAGGGAAGCCGGAAGGCGAAAGACATAGGGAGAAGAAGGAAGAGGGCAACAAAAGACAATTCGACAAGAAGGACGGAAGAGAGGGAAAAAAGAAAGAAAGAAAGAAAGAAAAACTGGAGAGCCACCACAAAGAGAAGTGGTTTGCCTGCATGCTGGTTTTTTACAGATCGTTGCGCGTGGTGAGTAGCTTGCCACGACTTGTTCAACAGCCACATTCTATCAAACTAGACAGTTTGTTGTGCTTGTCTGGATCACAACCTTGTGCCCTGATCCAATCCGATTAGGTAGCTTAGCAGCATACTGAGCATACTGACAAAGCCACTAGCTTCGTGCCAAAAAAACGGAAACAAGCCAGGCACGCTTTGAGGGGCTCGTGTGTATTGGACTGACACACTGCTCAAACCACTGGATTTTCCCACGTGCCTGCAACACTTCTTGCTTGGGTCAAGGAAAACAAATTGGGGCTTTGCGACTGCGGCAGCCACACCCGCACTTGCTTTCAGCCTCGTGATCACACTGGGCTGGCCGGTGTTTGGAAACCTTGGGCTTGTTGATACAGAAAAAAAGGGGTCATCCTGCACAGAGCGGCAACAAACAAGCACTCAAGCAAACAGAAGCCAAAAACCTCAAGGAGCCTTGTTGCTTGTTCTCAGGGAGTGTGAGATCATTCCCGCCAACTACGTGGAATATGATATAAGTTACAACCAACAACTGTTGTCTAACAACAATTCCAGAAATGTCACATCCCACAACAACGACAGCGCGAAAGCGGTAGCAACTGCTGGCGACATGGCTGCTGGGCACAAGCAGGATCCGCTCTTCTCGATTCCGGCCATACGATCCATATAGGGTAACACAAATGTGCTCACAAATGAAAACACAAACTCACAATCACGCGCGCACACACACACAGACACACACGCACTCGCCCACACTCCAATGCCATGGTCGATCAACTACTTGGTGACTTGCGTGGGGATAGCCACGCTTTGTCCGTATCATGCCTGCATCCAAGATCACAAGCGTGTTCAAGCGGAATGAACCCTCCACGTGTGTATTTCTACATATGTCCAAACGTTGCCAAAAAATAATGAAGAAAAGTGCGGATCCTTGTCCTCCTTTACACTGGAACAGCCCGATATTTTTAGTTTGCGCTGTGCCTCGGCGCCCACTTCACCAAAGCAGCCCACAGCGGCGTGGCTGTACTTCTCCAGCAGCGCCTAGGCTTCGCGCTTTTCTCCTTGCTTGAAGAATTGCCGATGGACCACACTATACACTACTAAACTACTACTGCTACTACTACTAGCACTACTACTACTACTACTACTACTAATAATAATAATAGTAATAATAATACTGCTACTACTGCTACTACTACTACTACTACTGCGACTACCACTGCTGCTACTACTACTACTACTACAACTCATAATTTAGACTGTCGTCTGAGGGGAGGAGTAGTAGTAGTCGTAGTAGTGGTAGTATGTCTTTCTTGCGCGTTGTTTGCTGATATTCATTTGCGTTTGATTTACTGCTGTTTGTTTGCTATTGTTAGCGAAGTCTGAAATTACAAGAATTGAGACAACGTTCACCAATTTGGGCTGGAAAACGACCTTCCAAGGACTCCCAGCCTGGTCAGCTCTAAGCCCGAAATTCCACACCCCTTTCCCATGGCGGATTCCAACCAGCCTTGTTCCACATGGGCCTTTTTGGTGGCATCCACTCACGCCGGCGCATAGCGCAAGTTGGCGCGCTTGACTCGGTCTTGAAAACACGCGCGGGTCACAGGCGCTTCCGCCCCTCCCTGTCGTGCGTGCAGCTATTGAGTCGGGCTTCGCAGGCTGACGTCTTTTTGTCCCATGCCTGTGAGCAGCCGCACCATGACGCGCACTGAACTTGGGATGGCACAAGCCATGTTGGGCCTAGAGAGGCGCGATAAACCCGCAGCAACCAAATGGCCTGCACGAATCCAGATAAAGAACTCAAAAGGGCCCATTTATAGGAGCCTGCCTTCGGTCCATTTAGGGCTGCTGCACCTTCTTCAACGGGCGTCATCGTCACTAGTCGCAGAGAGAGATGGCCTTGCCTGACCAGCGCCTTTTTGGCGCAAACCTCGGCCGTGACAGCGCTGAGTCCACGAAGGCTATGGCGCCTGCCAACGCGGTCCAGGCGATCCAGGTCTTCCTGGCCTCAGCCCGACTTCGGTGCAGCCACCGATGATGGCGTACGTTCTGCTCCTGCTCCTGGATGTACGTCACGTTTCCAAGGTTCAACGTGCCAAAGTGCCTGGAACGTCGAGGCCCTTGACTTTGTCCACATCAGCATCTTCTTGGCCGTCGCGATGTCGCCGTGCTTGGCCACAATGCTCGCATCCCAAGCGGTGTCCACGTTCGCGGAGAAGATCCGAGCGCCGGCCCGCTGGACCTCCGTGGCGTGCACGTTTTTGCTCGAGGATGCCCGTGCTGTTGAGCAGATATCCGTTTGGATCCACCACGCCAGCCCGGTGCCCTGTCAGATGAGTCCATCTAAGGGTTGATTTACACACCCCTTTTACATACCCCTTTTTTGCAGGAATACTTGGCGCCTTTTTCTACTGCTTTCTGGTCTTTGGCTTTGGTGCAAAGGTCGGTGGCGCGCTTTCGCGTCCCTGGGAGCCGCGGTCATATTATGCGGTCAACCAGCTTTCATCCAGCCACTCTACTGGCAGGACCCAGAAGTTGTAGTCATTGAAGGACGTCCCGTTCCATTCCACGGCTACATCACCCCCCGAGTCCACAAAGCAGTAGTTGATGAGATCCCTCAATGAAAATGAAAATCTGAACGGCGCATGGGGATCCGCGAGGGACTGCGTGAAGCTAACATCACGAGGCAAGTAGCTGGAGGATGCAACAACAAGAAACACATCGCCAGTTGTGGAGCGAACCGACGAGCGATGGTCCAAAAGCTCGTTCACAACCATTTCGCCCATGAGCCCTTTGTTGAACCGACGATCATCGCTAAAGATCGCCGGCACGTTCGGGCGGAATTCCTGATATGGCCACAGAGTTGCCGCCGCCAGCTCGCACAACATGTAGACGGTGGCATCCTCGAAGTTCGACCACAGCACGATCGTCGTCGCCGCGAAATCGGAGAGCCACCCTGTCATCGGTTGAACAGACTCACGGAGACTGCGCACAGCCGCGCAATCCTGGGCTAGGCATAGCAGCAAGACCAGGAGGCGCTTCATAGCTGCGCTGACGGCCAAACTACCTGCTGCCTCATTGCCCACAATCTTCAGGTGAAGGCATGCGGCAGCATAGTCCTATTTTCTTTCTAGGGGTTGATTCCCTGTTCTTTTTAGCCATCGTTCTTTCCAAAAACCGGCCGTTTTCCTGGGTGTCCGGAGGTTTTCTAGAAAGAAGGATCCCTGGAAAGAATGGAGAAGGTACCCAGTTTTCATTGACTCATTATTCGAAAAAGTCGCCCAGACTAGTAGGCTATCCTCTCGACGCTCAAAACTCCACCTGGGTTCTAACCTGAATTCTAAATTCCCAAAGCCCCGGAAAGCCCTGTAGAACCCCACCATCTGGCAGGCTAAGAATTTATTTTGGACCCCTTGGGCTTGCACTCGCTCTGAAATTGTGAGGCAAGCTCATTCTCCAACAAGAAAATAGGGTCCTTCTCAGACTCAAGTTAACCATTCAAGACAACATGGCATGGCTTTTAATGTGGCCACGGGCCAAAATCCCGCACCCCCAGTGAACATCCGATTCAATCCCCACTAAAATAGGTTCTAAAATGGGCGAATTCATCTACCCACCAAAATGGGATCCCAGTGGTGTTGACAACCACAGCCAGGTACCCTCTCTCCACTGACATGGCTGACACAAAGTCCCAAGAGGAAGCTGACGTTCTGGGGCCCCCGCCTGTGCGTTGCCGCCCGAGGGCGCCAGCAGGGCCGGCGCTCCGGGAATGGGACTGGCCGGACGGCTGGAGGACACCGGAAAAAGAAGAAAAAAGAGGGGGGGGGGGAGGAAAAAACGGGAAAAGCGTGGAACCTGACGTTTGGGACCCGGTCCCTTTAAAAGGAAAATGGTCCAAATCAGGGGCCCTCTGTCAGGTTCCATGTTCATTGGTGGGATGGTAGATGGCACTGATGATTCGAACCGAACTAAACGAAGGGCCATCGATTTTCAATCAAACCGACCCATGGACAGCTGTGGACTCAGTCCAGATAGGAATGACCAAAGCACAGGAAGCCCCAAAGGCGGCAAAACGGACACCGCAGCGCGTATCTTTTCTCTACTTGTCTCGTGCTGCTTCTGCTAGCTCTATGAAGCGTTCCAATCGCTTCCGGACTGATCGGAGGGTCGCAGTGATGTTCCATGCCAAGTCCTGGCAATGGACAACTGCATCCTGCCCAAGCCGCAAGCCTGCTTGCCTATTCAAGCTGCTTAGAGAAGCCCAATTCCGCCTCGCTCGCTGGCCATTCGCCGGAGCATTTTCAGGTTGGGGCCCTGGAAGCAAGCTGATGTACCACTGGTTGTCGCGCGGCAATGCGAGTTTTCTGCGATAATATCCAGCATGTAAAAAGACTTTGCATACCTGCCCAGAACTACTGCGCGAAACCTCTGAGAATTGCTTTGGCCACCCGATAGCAGATTCATAATCCTAATCCCCCCCATCCAGCAAGGAATTCCAAAGCCATCAACACGGAGGAAACCAAAGACCCCCTCCAGAAAAGCTTCTTAGAAGGTTTTCAGGGGCTCGAGGAAAGGTTCTCAGAACCTTTCTGGGGGATACTTTTGACCCAAGATTAACAAGCCCCTGACTCGTCCTTTTGAAGCCGGTCATCCTCCAATCAATCTGCCAGGTTCTGCATAAATTTGGGTGCAACATTTAAAAGGGATGATAAACCAAGATGAGGGAATTGCGCCAGCTACTTTCACCCACTGGATAATGTCTCTGACTCAACCCCTGTCCTTCCTTTGCGTAGCCTCAGTCCATTGTCCACAAATCAACTCGGACACCCTGTCTTCGTTGGCTTCAAGGCCCCCAAATAAAAATATCGGTTGGACTCCACTCCCCCCAGAATGCCCCCCCTCCAAAAAAAACAAAGGGAAAAACAAAAAAAATAGATTGGACTCCACTCCCCCCCCCCCCCCGCCCCCCCCTAAAAAAAAAAAAAAAAAAATGAGAAAGACACTCCCCCCCCGCGCCCCCCAAAAAAAGGTTTTAAAAAAAAGAGAAAGATTGGACTCCGCTCCCCCCGCGCCCCCCCAAAAAAAAATGAGAAAGATTGGACTCCACTCCCCCCCCAAAAAAAAAAAAAAAAAAAAAAAAATGAGAAAGATTGGACTCCACACCCCCCGCGCCCCCCCCCCCCCCCCACCCACAAAAAAAAAAACTAAAAAAAAGAAAATAAGAACAGAACACCAAACTCGGACTCCGCAACACCTCCTGAACAAATCGATCGATCCCCGGGCGACGGCTCGGTCCTGGGGGTCCCGGCCAGCGCGCAGGGCCTCGCTGAGCAGTAGCGCGTTTGGCCGGCCGAAGTCCACCGTGGCCGCATCCAGCGCGGCGTTCAGCGCGTTCAGCTCTTGGCCTCGATATGGGGCAAGAGGCCAGATAGACTTTCGATGCTTTCAGACAAGCTCATACCATTCACCACCCTTGTCAGGTTGATTTAATGGGGAAGCCCAAGGCAACCAAAAAGGACACCAAAAAGGGAACCATCTTTGACATATGGCTCTGGGTCAAAACCAATGGGATCCCATTTTGGTTGGTAGGTGAATTCGCCACCCATTTTAGAATCGATTTTAGCGCTTGGATTGAATCGGATGTTCACTGGGGGTACGATTTGGATTTTGACCCATGGCCATATCTCCGCGAGCGCTGGGTGGGTTTCGTGGCTTTTCTTGGAGAGTTCAATCGGTTTTTGGACGGGTTCTTCAAAGTCGGTGGGTCTCGTGGAGAAGAGATTCTTGGAGTCTCGAGCTTAGGGTGAGTTTCTCCAAGGTCTGTGTTTTCTGGAGGCTTCCGTTTTGGATGTTGGAGTTTCGTGTTTGTTTGTTGTTGTTTGTGGGGGGTTGGATGGGTGGTCTTAAAGGATGTGCAAAAACCCAAGTTCATGGGGGTTCACCCCTTACATTAGAATGTGTGTGGGCTCGATTGAAAGGGGACCCGCAATGAAAAGGCTGGTTTCCTTCACCAAAACAAGACACGCCCATTTGTGTCACAACCCACCAAGATGGTGGTTCGTTGTTGGTATCCTTAAATCTGAACAGGCTACACTCAAAAAAGCGCATACCCAAATGGTGCTTCCAAATTCTCAAACCTCCCTATATTTCCTTGAAACAGAACCCCACCAAAACGAAACTCGCTTTAAGCGAGCCCAAAAAGTGATGTGCTAAGCCAGCAAAAGAGGGCATACATTGTGGGATCCTGTTTTTGGTTGGTATGAAAGGGGCACCAAAACAAAACTAACCATTTTGGGGGACCCTCTTTTCTGAGAAATACCCATGTGAGTGATCCAAATATCTGGAGGCTATCAAAAAGCGGTTCACCAGCCTGAACTACTGAATCCCGGTAAAGGGCATTCATTCTGGTTGGGCTCCTTCCAAACGAACCGTGAAATAGCTGCAGAAATACGCTCTCACCCAGGACATGGGAAGGATCAAGATCTGTCACGTAGGAAATTGGGAGAGTGTTGCATGTCCCTGAAACTACTGAATATACTCAAGTTGAATTGCTTTCCAACCCTTGGCATGCCAAAAGCTGTTTTTTGCGGCCCCCGAAACTAAAAATGAGCAGAAGCAAAACAACATCAGGCAGGTGGTTTTAAACCTGGCAGATGGTTGACAAGTCGCCAGTTCAGGCTTTCCAGAAGTTCTGCGCAGCATCAACCGCCTCTCCACTAAACCGGGCCAACAGCGAAGATTCACAGCCCCCCCCCCTCAAAACTAAAAGTATCACTTTCAAGAGGCTTCCTTTCGCCGCGATAGCTCAAACTGCGACCAAGAAAGAAACCACCAAGGTATGGGTGGGGGTGAAGAATAGAGTAACCCCAAAATGGGTTGCCTGCTAAAAGGAAACAATGACTAAAGCCTGCGGTCAATATCCTGGTGGCATTATTTTGACCCATTACCCATATGGTTCGCAGTCTGAGAGAAGCAACCGACAACGTGTCATCCCCCCCAAGGACATGGGCAAATTGGGCCATGCCCTTGCCAAGCCAACCAGCTGTGAAACTGGACAGGCATGAAAAACTTGTTATGTTTTTGTTTTTTTTACAGCTTGGAACAAGGTGCCCAGCACAACGTACGCTTGCTCTGCTTCCTGGAACTTGTCGTCATCCTCGACTGTGCTCTCCTGCTGGGACAGGATCTTTAGAACCTTGCCCAATCGGTTGGAAGATCCCTTAGGTATTGTTCCAAACAAAGCCCCGACAAGACAAGGACCCGTGCGGAAAGCCTTGAATATGCTAAGAGAATGCGCATTGGATCTTGGCAACTTCAAAAATATATCTTTGCGATCAGCTTCCCAGCTCGCCACCAAAGCTTACTTTGTCATATTGAAGCACAGCTATTGAAGCTTGGCCTGTGCAAACCACACAGCAAAACCTTCGACTCGCTGCCACAGCAACTTGCTTCCCCCGGGTCCGCAGCAGGCTCTCCGAGAAGTTGGCTCCTCGCAGCTGTCGCTTCAGCCGCTCGAAGTCGCTCGAAGCCTCGGAGTCCAAAGCCGCCAGCACTGCCGCGGCCTCCCGCAGCCCCAGCCGCGCCTCGGCAGCTTCCGCGGCCTCCGCGCCTGCGGCGGAGGGCTCGTAGAACTGCCCGGTCTCCCAGAAGTAGCCCTTCAGCTTCAAAGGGTTGAAGGACTCTGCCCGCGCCTCCAGCGCGCCAAGGCCCGCGCCCGCCGGGAAGAGGCAAAGACTCCGCCGGAGAAGGAAGCAAGGCAACGGCGCCCCCACAAACGCCAAGAGCCACGCGCAGCGCAGGCCATGGCGCCGCGGCAACATCCTGTCCCAGTGCCTTGCGTCTTTGCAGCTTTGCAACTAGTCCCTCACCTCCCTCCCTACAAGGTGTCCAATGGTTCCCTAACGTCTGATCTTATGTTGTCTGACAAGGGACTCCCTCAGACTAGACGGCTTTTGCAAGAATGGTTCTGGCTTCATCTAAATTATTCTGCATCTATACTCAGGTCATGAGAAAACTGACACTCTTCTACCAAATATCAGAAACTTCACCGGTTCAGAATCTGCCCTGTGCTATCTGATGCTTCGCGGGGAGTTGCCGCAGGCCTCTCTGCCAAATAACAAAGATCGCTCTGGAGTGAAAGCCGATGCGAGCAACAGCAAGCACTCAGAATCAAACTGCCCTGTTTGGGAACACCCTGGCTAGTGGCAAGGCAGGATGCCATGAGACGTACATATTGGCACATCTCGACGGCATGCCGCAGGATCTCTTTTGCGTTCGCACATACTGTCAACTAGGGACCTTGTGAAAGCAGGTGTTCATTGATCCCGGCAGCCTTTAGCTTCGAACGCTTCCCCCAAAATGAGGATGGTCATGGCTCCTTGCTTCGCAATGCAAATTTCGGAAAGCTAGGGGCACAAAACGGCCCAAACACCAAGCACCTGCTTTAGGCAAACATCTGCTGCAAACAGAAACTCATAAGAAGCAAGCAAGGAATCTCCAGTGGGTGTTCTCATTCAAGTTTCTCCATTCAGGTCTGTGTGCGTGTGTTCTTGTATTTGTGTCTGTGTGTCTGTGTGTGTGTGTGTGTGGGTGCAGGTGCGTGTCCTTCCCTCCCAAACCCCTGGCAAACTCGCCTCGTGGAGGAGGACGCAAAGCCCGAGTCGACCTGCGCCTGCAGGAGCGCCTGGCGTATGCGAGCTGAGTGGTCGCCTGGTGAGACTGGGGGAGGCATGGCATGTTTGGCGTCCCTAACACACCCCCCCACTTGTACTCGGGCTTCACAAGCACTAGAAGCTGGCTTCCCTGGGATCGCAGGAACCAGTCAACCTGTTAATTCCCACCAGGCTGAATGAACCCCAGAGTAGGTCAACCACATCGCCCGAGGACTTGGCCATTAACACGACAACAAATGCAGCCTCTGCTCCGTCGCTGGGCTCCTGGCGAACCATCTGCAGGGCAACGGCAAACGAGAAACCAGTCCAAGACAAATCCATCCACTGGGCAGCAAGTCAAGTGCAGCTGCTCTGATTGTGGTTCAATCGTTGTTGGGTGTGTGTGTGTGTGTGTGTCTTTTTTTTGGGGGGGACGCACAAAATCTTGGCTTTCCTGTTGGTTTCCCTTTAAATCCACCAAATGGGGGCACCAACGTCCGCAAAACATGACTATGCTTTAAAAAGCTCCTCCGAACTCCCAAGACATGTTGCCGTTCTCACGTCAAGAACTGCGAAACACATACCCTTGGTGTAGGGGTGTGTCTGTTCTTGAGGGTACCTCCCTCCCACTAACATGGCACCTGACAGGGGGTCCCAAGAGGAAAATGATATGACCTTCCAGCCCAGCAGTTGCTATAGTGGGAGGGAGGGTACCCCTTTGAGGGAAACCAACCACCACTTTGGGGGTGGCCCCCAAAAACAAGATCCCGCAGGCCCGGCACCGTGTTCGCCTCCTCCGCCCTCCCTGCACCTCAAGCCATTGGCTTGACTTGAGGGGCTTGGAGTGTGGGTCAAAAGCCCAAAGCCCGTATTCAATCCATCCACTAAAATAGCTTCTAAAATGGGTGGCGAATTCCCCTACCCCAAAATGGTACCCACAGCCATATGAATGTATGTCAAAGACGGTTCCCTTTTTGGTGTCCTTTTTGGTTGCCCCTTTGGGTTTCCCCTTAAATCAGCCTGACAAGGGTGCCCAATGGTACGAGCCTATGTGGCTTCCTTACAAAAATGTGACGCTGCACCCTTGTTCTTGGCTGCACCAAATATCACGAGGCTCAGCGAGATGAACCACAAGTCGGGGCGTCAGTGTAGGTCCGTGCAAAGCTTTGCTCCTAGCAAAGCTTTGCTGACCAAGGGCCAACAAGAGCGACGAGAGCCCTGCACCCTCAGACCGGCAACCTTTCCCCCCACAAGACTCCGCATTTCCGCGGTCTCTCGGGAGCCCCGCGCAGGAGCCGCACTTTGAAGCGGCCATCCGGTCCGACCTCCGATGGGCCGCCGGACTTAATCTCTGTCCGCTACTGTACGCGCATTCACACATGTGCTGTTGTTGTCCTCGCGTGTGCCCCGTCGATCGGCGGCGCAAAACACTGTACAGACGTAGTAAATCACAAGAGCGCGGTGCAATTATGCAGCACGCGTGGGAAAAAATGGTGGAAATCGAGAGCCACGATGCGTGAGAGGCATCGCGGCTTCGCTAAGGGGGGGGGGGGTGGTAGTTCGTTGGTTGTTGGCGCGGCGGCGCCGTTGGTTGGTCCGTAGGTCCACCCGGCGGTGGCCTTGACTGCGTCGGCAAGCTTGGTGCGGCCGGTGCAGATGTCCACCACGGTCTCGGCCAGGATGTCTGTGGAGTCGAAGCAGGTGACGCCGTCTCCTTTGCCGGCGGCGGTGTTGGTGTCGGCGGGCGGCGGCGCCTCGCCCTTGGTCTCTTCGGCGCTGGAGGCGCTGCTGGCGGTGGTAGTAGTTGTCGTTGCTGGTGCTGGCGCTGGTGCTGGCGCTGGTGCCGGTGCTGCCAGCCACCAGCAAGGGCAGCTCGGTGCACCCGAGCACGAGCATCTTGACGCCGGCCGCCACGAGGGTGGCCATGACGCCGGCAAAGACCTTGCGGCCCTCGGCCACGCGGCCGGCCTTGGCCAGGTAGATGGCCTCCATGGCGAGCTTCTGGGTCGGCTCGTCGGGCGCGTAGTAGGGGATCTGGCGGTGCGCCAGGGCCCGCTGGTAGAGGCCGCCGGCGACGCAGCCGGAGGCGGCGAGGATGCCGACGGTGCCGGTCTCGCCGGTGGTGCGGACGTGCTGGGCGATGCGGTCGGCCGTGAGGTCGATGATGCTGAGGAAGGGCACGTCGGCGAGGCCCTCCGGGCCGTGTTGCAGACGCAGACGGCGAACTGGGCGCCGGCGGCGCGCATGCGCTGGCCGCTGCCGCGCAGCGCCGTGGAGCAGACGTCGAGCTTGGTGCCGTCCATGATGGCGAGCTGGCGGTCGGGCACACGGGCGTTGATGTCGATGGACGCGAGGATGTGGTGCTGGTCGAGGGAGGCGCCGGCGCGCTCGCGGGTCTTGTCGAGGACGTTCTGGTAGAAGGCCACGGTGGCGTCGGGCCCCATGCCACCGATGATGCCGACGCGGATCGAGTCGTCGACGTCGTAGATTTTGGCGGGGGCCGTGGTGGCGGTGGTGGCGGTGGTGGCGGCTTTGGTTTTGGCGTTGGTGGACGTGGCGGGGTTGTCGCAGGCAAAGTCGCGGAGGGTGCCGACGGCTGCCGCGACCCGTTCCATGGCCGTGGTGGAAAGATACATTCTCCCACTAACCTAAAGGCCTCAACACTGGTGCCAAGCAGAAGCTGGCAGACGAGTGGGCTGGCAAGCTGAGACAGGGCCAGCCGAAAACTGGTGGCCGTGGTGGTGGCGGGGGTGGTGGTGGTGGTGGTGGTGGCGGGGGTGGTGGTGGTGGTCTTTTTCAGCTTCATGATGGCCAAAATGGGGGTCATCCTGATCGGTAATCCGCAACGAGACATACCAAAAAGGAAGCCATACAAGAACATCTGGCAGAAAGGTCAAAGAAGTCTTTGGAAGAACCCAGTTTATGGTGGTGGGAGGTTAGCTGATGTCTTGTCATTTGGCCTAAAGACGGACCAGCGGTTCAAATCCCCAAACCACCTGTACCTTATCAAATCAGCCCTGCTTTTTTGGAGAGTGCCAGTGAGAAACAAGCTGCGAGCCATGGGCGAATTGTGTGGACTATGTTTGCCAAGGCAAAGGGGTTGATTACGTTGGTCGTGGTTGGCATCTAGCGGTTTTCCTTCTCCACAAACATGGAAACGTCACTCACTCCCCCTTTTTGGGACAGAGCCTTCCAACAGACCCTGGAAAGGAAGAAGCTCAACGGCATTTACTAAACTCTGGTGAGTGTCGAGCCGGGCTTCATGTAGGTTTGCCGCATTTCCGGGCGTTTTTCCCGCGGTTTGTCCCATTCTGAACCCTCGGGCGCCCCAGTCGCCCTACGTCGGCAAGCTCGGGCACCCGGGCCACAGGCATGGCCAACAGCCCGGCACGCTGGCAGGCGCGAGAAGGGCCTGCTTTCGCCGGAATCAAACCGCCCGCAGGCCAAAATACAATCCTGGATCTTTCTTAGGCAGCGATTACGCCGCCCAAGAGGAGAAAAAGGAGAAACTGGTCCCAGAAGCAATGGAGAAGAGCTTGATTCGATCTTCTTTCAATGAGCATGCTCCCCGAAGCCCTTCCCACATCACCAGCCTAGCTTCTCAGGTCTGACCGGCTTCGCCTAAGCAAAATCAAGCCGCGGCTTGTGCAAGGAAAGAGCACAAACCATGACGCATTCACATAGAAACCTCTGAATGATCCACATTTACGAGACAGATTGTCAAGTCTTTACTTCCAAACAAACGTACGGGGAAAAGCGTCGAAACATGGACCCAGATTTG